ATGCCCAACACAACGTGAAAGAAGGGTAATTTTCCACTAATAAATTTGTTACGCAGGAATCTAATAATCCGAGCCCTGGTGGGCGTACTGCAGGTCGTGATCGCAATGGTGGTGGGCGTGGAGAAGCAGCGAGTGCAAGTGCGACTGCGTCTACAAGTGTTGCAACCTCCAGGAGGAAATGCAAGCGCACCTTGACAGTTTGGGATCACCTCGACATAATTGAGGAGATCGACAATGAAGGTAACACTAAACATATAGCTCAGTATAAATATTCTTTATCTAAATTACGAGGTGACACTATTCACGGCACCACACACTTGAGAAGACACTCCGAGAAGTGTCTTCAAAAGCTTAGCCAGTCCGGCGGACCCGAACTCCGCCAAACACAATTATCTTTTGATCGCGCAACCAGTGGTCTAACTGTTGTTCCCGAATCGAATTCGGGTGCGGAAGCATGGGGAGAGGCGGATCGTGTATCACAAAAATTTTCATAAAACTTTTGAGATACTCTATAGATTATATTAATTTATGCACGAATAAATTAATCGCATTAATTTACATCAAGAACTCAATCCGGAAAAATACCCTGGAAGCCGACTCGGATGATAACTTGAGTTCTTCGACCACGAACAGTCTTTGCTCCAAGTTTGTGTTTAGAATACCAAAGTCTTTCACGTCAATTCCTTGATTCCACGTAGACGTGTGTGTGGGCACACGTGAGACAAAACAAGTTTCTTAAAACACTCGAATTTCCACAAACACCAACGCATGCACGATGTGGAATTTTTTTGGAGAAAAATATTTTGCTCTCTTTTTTCTTCTTGAGAAATTCGGCCACCAAACAATTTAGGGCAGAAAAATATGTTTCAAAAATTGTGTTTACAATTTTCTATCATTCTCATATTTAAAGAGTAGAAGTCAAACTTCAAAACAGAATCAAATCCCTATCTCCAATTTTTTGAATTTGGAACAAAAAATTCCTTCCCTTTATCCATAAGGTGGCCGGCCATATCACTAGGGTTTTTCCCTGTGTGTGGCGCCAATAGCAGATAGGGAAGGAAGAGATTTTATCCTTTATCCAGTAGTCCAATTTTAATTCAGATTCAAATTCGAATTTAAGTCAAACTTAAATTAATTTGAATTCTAAATTGAACAACTTATCAAATAAGTTTAAATGGAAAAATCTAGATATGTTCAAATTCAAATTTAAATAATCACATTATTTAAATAAAAAAAAAGACATTAATTACTTCTAAACTGCGAAGTGTCCATTTGATATACTCATTACATATAGATCAATCCTTCATAAATAATTCATAATTAGAGTCATGTAGAATCCGTTAACCTCTCTAATTATATTTGCATCCTTGAGTACCATTGATTCTCTAATGGATAGTGATTCATAAAACTCATTCATGAACCAGAGCGCTCTTACTAATCCAAGTACCGAATCAACACTCAAGAGAATTATTTATCTACTTCTTTCTCAAGAAGGAATGGATTCCATCTCGTACAATAACATTCCCAGCTACCTATTTCATTATGTCTCCAAAATACAAGGAATAGGATTCAGGGTCTCAGAATCCGTACCGAATAAATCAAACGACATAAATCCATAAATAGGAGTTTGTTAAGAACTCAGGATTAAGATCATCCTATATATGACCATCGGTAGACTCAATTAGAATTTCTATGCTTAACAAAAATTATTAGAAATTCATATTGTGTATGTGTCCTTGTTCCACATAATCTTATTATGTGAAATACACTCATTCAATATCTCGCCATATTAACAGTGCAGATAACACCGTTCCATTCTAAATGGGAATGACATGTATTAATAATATTTTAATTAAAGATTCTGAACTTTAATTAAATTCATCATGAATAATGTTTTTGATTATTATCCTTAAATACTATCCTCTCGTATATAACACTTATATACTGTGTTTAAGGTTACATAAACAATCACGAAATTTTCATTTGATATTCATAAAATATATGCACATAAAATGATGAATAAACTCTTTTATTAATTAAATAATAAATATCCTATTACATCACATGCTTCCAGGACACTATTCTCAACACTAACTACTTAGAAATACTATCCGCAAGTAGATCATATGAAAGTTGCGCAAATGATAGATGCTTTAGATCAACCACTTAGTTTTGTAGATCATCCTAATTGGCAACGATATATTAAGGTTGTACATAATCCTAATACATAATTCACTTCAAAAACTACTCTTATGAAAGATTTATTAAAATTATTTAAAAAAAGAAAAAGAAGCATTAATTAATCTTTTACACTCGACTAGCGGGTGTGTTGCGTTAACGGTAGATATTTAGTTTGCCGTTGCCAATAAAGATTATTTAGCTGTAACCGGACATTACTTTAAACGATTTGATTCAGATAAGAGAATATTATGTTTTAAATGTGTTCTAGGATCACATAGCCAGATTTAATAGATAATACAATTTTAAATGTAATTGATGAATTTAGATTAAGAGATAAAGTAATAGCTATAACATTAGATAATGCTAGCGCCAATACAAAAGCAATTGAGTTCTTTAAAAATGATTTAAGTTTATTCGGTCACGATACTATTTTCCACCAACGTTGTGCATGCCACATAATTAATTTAATAGTTAAATCCGGTTTAAAAGAAATGGGTAATCACATTAAAAGAATTAGAGATAGTCTTCTATGGATTCAAGGTAGTAACCAAAGACAAGAAGATTGGTTTAAGTTCTTACAAGCATTAAATATACCTCCTAGAGCATTAGCGGTAGATATGCCTATAAGATGTAACTCAACTTATATAATGTTTCAACAATGCATCCCCTATAAGGATGCTATAACAAACTATATGTGTGTAAAATTATGAGTAGGTCATATAGATGCATATGATTGGCAAATTGCCGAAATTTTATATCAATTTTTAGGTAGGTTTCATGAAGTTACTCTAAAACTTAGTAGAACATATTACCCAACATCACCTTTAGCTTTAGGTGAACTTTTAAGAATTAGTATTTTATTTAGCGAATATAGGGAGGACCCAATCTTAGGAGTTCCTATGGAAATTTAGATATTATTTAAAAGAAATTTAAAAAATATTGGTCTAAGTTGCCTTTATTGTATGGTTTAGATATTATTTTTTATCCTAGATTAAAATTAGACGGTTTAGAAAGTGGTTTAGAAAACTTAGGTAAATTTTTAAGCATCAATTGTTCGGACCAATTTCCTATAATAAAGGCAAAAATATATTCGATCTATAGTAAATATGAGATTAGGTTTAGAAGTACAAACTCTAGAGTATAGGAACCGCAACAACAAGATGAAAATCCGCATTCATTCTTGAATGTTTTCGGGTTGAAAAAGAAGAAGAAGACAACTTAAACAGAAGCTAGGAGTGGATCTTCATCAACAGGTGGTAGCGGCATCAGCAGCTTCAACGAGCTTATGGCGTACCTCAATGAAAGCTTAGTAGTCGACGGTACTAGAGAATCATTTGACTTAATTCAATGGTGGAGGGCACAGGCATTAACTTGGCCAATCCTAACTCGATTGGCAATGGATATATTTTCGATCTCAGTCTCCACTATTTCATCCGAACAAGCCTTCAGTACGACATGACAAATACTTGAGGCATGCCGGAATGCATTGCAAAGGGACATTTGTTGAAGCCTTGGTCTGCATTAAGGATTGGGATCTTGCCGATCAACGTCTACAGGATACAATTTTGCCGACAAGCCAAGAATGGATCGATGAATTTAATCAATTAACATTTAATTTTGAAGACGATACTTCAACTTCAAATTATATTGTAAATTTGTAAATATGTATTTACTTTTGACATTGTAATTGTATAACTTTGTAAGTTTGTAAAATTTGTAATTCGTCACAAAATGATTGCACTTTTTTTCCTTACCAAGTTTTTATTTCAATTGGGTTTTTCTTAGTAAGGTTTTTAACGAGGCAATCATGAATTACGAATTTAAAAATTAATATACAAAATTAATTTATTAAATTGTGTTAATAATGTCTGTTGAATGTTGATTTTAGGTTTTATATAAGTTTAACACAAAATAACTTAATAATTATAAAGATTAAAAAATATAAAAAAAAATTCGGGCTGGCTCGGGCTGACCAGCCGGGCTCGGACAGCCCAATAGAAGCCTGCGGCCCATTCACGGGCCTTTTTAGGCTCGGGCGGACGGCCTGAAATTTTTGAGCGGGTCGGGTCGGGCACGGGGCAAAAACTCAATATTTTCGGGCGATCGCGGGCAGTTCTAGCACTAATTGCACTTGTGACCATTGTTTGGAAACCTTATTGTATGTGATTTTTTTGTTCAGTCACATACCAAAAAGTAATGTGCAGTTATTACATTTGTTGGTTAAATTGAAAAAAAAAATAGTGATTTTTTTTTAGAATAGTAATTTGTAACATCGTAGGTACAAGTCTATATCCAACTTTATTCTAAGAAAAGTTCAGAGGTGAGTTTACCGTTATTTTATGTAGACCCTACTCCACAAGTTAACATTTATTTGAAGTCGTATTTTATTGCTTGTTATCCATACGGACCATATCCAATTATCCGTTCGGTACTTTGCAGCACGTTATCAACATTATATTCTTCATTGGTCACTTTACCGAATCGCCACTTCAAAAGTAGTAGAATTTTGTTTTCTCGCATACTCCTTTGAAGGATTAAATGGTAAAAGCAGTCACCAACTCTTTTTGTGTTCGCGTTACCGAAGATAACAATGGCAAATAATAAAAAATAAAAATTGAATCGCAATGAAATAAATAAATAAAATAATGGAAAAGTAAAAAACTCACTTAAGAAAGAAAGATCTCAACCGTCCGATTGAAGTTTTTCGATGATTAGGCCGTATGTACACGGTGTTGTCATCTCCACGATAGCAGACACATAACAGCGGTGTTTAAATCTCACGATAAACAAATAAAATCATACGCCCATTTTATATTATTTTATCTTTTTAAATGAAAATTTTGACAAGAAAAACGAAAAAGAAAAAAAAAGAAACCAAAAAGCGAATTTAAACGGCACAATCGCCCAAAGAAAGAGGCCTCGCTTCGCTCGCTTCTCCTCTCTTTCATTGTTGGTCACATCGGAGCGGATCGCGGTCACATTTCGGCGGCTCTGACTATTGTTTCTTCGCCGGAGATTTTATCTAACTCATCGGAGACGAATGATTCCTCAGCTTTGTCACGGTTTCTGAGATTCGCTCTCCTTATTTGGATTATTCTGCTTTGTTTTTTTAAATTTGAAATCGCCGTCAAGAGGTACCGGTCGATTTTCTGTCTTTTTTTCCTTTCGTTTTCTCCGTGATTTTCTCAATTTCTCATTTCCAAAGTGGTTTTAATGGGAGTCGATATTCTATACGAAAATATAAGCACAATATCTATAAGATATTTGTATATAGATATTTCCGTTTTTGGAGGTTTTGGACTTCGGGTGCTTCTTGCTCTTTCTTGTTTGATTCAACATTTCTCGAGGCTTTTTCGAGTTTGATGTTATCATTTTCGTGGTAGTTTTCGAATGTTTGATAGCGACGAGGTCTGGTTGGCAGCTGATTGTTCCGTGTGATTTTCGTGGCCTAATTTGGGGATTTTGAGCTTTGTTTATTGTAATCTTTTCTTGTTACGGCGTTTCTTTGGCGAATCTGATTTTGCACATATTGTTGTTTGGCTGCTGAGAAAATTGTGGAAGAGTAAGATAATTTGAGTTTAAACATCTTCATGTCGTTTTGACATCGGAATTGAAAATTTACTGCTCTGATAAGCTTTTTCCTTGCTTTATAGTGTCCCCCGAGGATCAGTGTTTGGATTCCATGAATTTCAGAGAAGAAAATAACGAAAAATCCAGCCTATATATAAGAACTTGGCTCGGTTGAGCTTTATTCTTTATATATATGTCGGAGAAAGAGAAACATAGGATATCTCTGTTTTGTTTTGTTGCTCTTTGATTTTGGCTGTTTCGATAGAGAAATCTACTTCTATTTCATGTCTTCGTGTAATGGAATTATATTCTCTGCTGATTCGATTTCTCTCCTTGTATCATGTTTTTCTCCTTTCGGTTTCTCGACTATATATACACATAATTAGGTTATCTTACTTGTATCCGCAGTTTCTAAGAATTTGCTTCATATGATATTGAGCTAATCTGTAGTTTGTTATTCAATCTCTATCATAATATTTTCAATTACTATGCTGTTGAATTTGACGAGGGATTAATTTTTCTGTGCAGTTAGGAATACAAGATGATAGGATCCTTTATAACCAGAGGACTTGTGTATGTTACCGAAAGAGTTCTCTTTTCTTTTGATTTTGAAGGTAATATGTTTTTGAATGAAAACTTATTTGTGTTCTAAATGTTGGCAGAATGGTCCTTGGTTATGCTTATCCTGCTTATGAGTGCTACAAAACTGTTGAAAAGAATAAGCCAGAAATTGAGCAACTTCTCTTTTGGTGTCAGTACTGGTATGTTTTATTGATTTCCTTTTCTGTTACTAGACTCGCTACCACCTATAGTATGGATGACTCTATAGTAACATTTATTTTTTCTTCTTTTGGGGCAGGATTCTGGTGGCATTTTTGACAGTGTGTGAAAGAGTAGGCGATGCTTTCATTTCGTGGTGAGAATTTCTAATTTGAATTTGATGAGATCTATTAAATGCTCTTTCTTGTACCACTTCTGTACTTAATTTGTGTTTTTTTTCTTTTTCATTTTTGTTTTAATGAAGGGTTCCAATGTATTGTGAAGTTAAGTTGTTGTTTTTCATATACCTGTGGCACCCTAGAATGAAGGTACAAGATCTGGTTTATTGAGCTGTGCAATGATGTTTATGTTGTCTTTTTGTTTTGTTTTCCTTTATTTCTTTATCTTTTTTATTTTAGTGATAAATGTTTATGTGCATCAGGGGACAACTTATGTGTATGATTCCTTCTTTAGACCATATCTTGCAAAGCATGAGAATGATATTGATCGGAACTTGGTGGAACTAAGAACCAGGGCGGGAGACATTGCAGTTTTGTACTGGCAAAGAGCAGCAAGCTATGGCCAGACAAGAGTTTTTGATATATTGCAATATGTTGCTGCACAATCAACACCACGGCCTCGCCCTCCGGTATTTAATCATGGATATATTCTTGGAATTTTACTTTTATCTTTCCCTATTTCACATATCACTTTTCATTAGCATTACCATATGCAAAAGAGCAAAATAGTCCTTGAAAATTCTTTTTCATCATCTGCTTTATGATTCTTAGTTTTCCAATGATTACTGAGCAGGTGTACAAAAATAATTTGGGATACATTGACTTAAGATGGTTCTTAGTTTTGATGGTTTGTCAACGACAATAGTAACTTAACAGATACAGCGGTAATAGCTGTTTAACCATACTATAAACCTTTTTAATTCCTGAATAATTGATTTCATTGCATCCATCATGTAAGTGATGCTAAAGATGTTGGAAATTCCCTGGTTGTTTCTCGTCTAAACCATATTTGCCATTTGGAATGAATTACAGATTTCCGTTCTTTCTTATGCTGCTACTCTTTTCTCATCCCCTGAAAAAACTTGTTATTGTGTTTTCACAGGCACAACAGCAGGGCGGTAGGGCTCGCCAACCTCCTCCTCGCCAAAATTCTGCTCCAAATCACCAACCTGCTACAGCACCACCATCACAACCCGAAGAACCATCATCTCCCACATCTAGCACATCTTCGAGTCAGTACCAAAAGGAGATAGCAGAAGAGCTTGCTTCTCAGGAAGCGCCTAAAGCTGCCACCCAAGCAGCAAGTTCAAGTACTCAAAACCAAGCGGCAGCTCCCAATACTAAAAACCAAGCGGCTGCTCCAAATACTAAAAACCAAACAGCAGGTCCAAATGGTAAAAACCAAACAGTAGATCCGAACGCTAAAAGTAAAGCAGCAGATCCAAATACTAAAACTAAAGCGACGGCTTCAAATGCTCAAAAAACTACAGCTGCACCTGAAAAGTCCATTCAATCAGTGCAGTCGGCGCCAGCTGAATTGGAACCAATGCAACTCGAGGCAGGAGCTTCTTCTTCAGAAACCGAAAATGGTGACCCTCCAAAAGAGACAGTCATGGAAGATGCCATTCGGCTCACACGGGGTAGGTTGCGGAAAAATCGATCTACTGAGGCCCGTTGAAAGAGGTTGTGTTCCCCATATTTTAGTTTGCAAAAGCTTTTATTTGACATTAGGTGGTTGATGGTTGTGGAATTGTTGGTGTAGACGTTGCTGTAAATCTGTTATCTAGTTTTGATTTATTTGTTGCTTTATTTTTTGCACATTGTTCGCGGATTAAAGGGTCTTGGCTAGTAGGGTCGGTGTTATCATTCTGAAACACATGTTGATCAAGATAAAACGGGAATTTTTGAAAGGGTGTTAGGGTCGCTAGCGAGGTTGCGTCAGGCGCTCACCTATCAACTTTCATAATCGATTGGCGAAATAATAGGTTGAAACAAATTTTAGATTATCCTTTCATACGGCTCATAATTGGGTCTGGTATGAATGAGTTAAGAATTGAACTTTTGATTTTATGTTTTACGGAAACGTGCAAATATGTGTGCGGGTTATTCGTTATTCAAAATTGAATTTCTAGTTGGCTTTTTTTGTATTATCGAGTCGTTGGAACTTGAAATGCTTGTTGTTTTTTTTTTTTTTTTTTTTTTTTTTTTTTTTTTTTCAAATTTAAAAATCAAACTTGAAATGCTTGTTTGCCATCCAAAATTCGGCTGAAAAAAGATTTGACAGATTTTTTTTCTATAATTTGACAACCGGGATAAGATAGCGTGTCGGAAGTTGGTAGGGTATTATAATTAAAAATATCACATTTAATTTTTTTTATTATAATTAAAAATTTTAAAAAAATATCATATTTTAATTCAAATTAAAAACTTGAATTCACATGAACGATCCCTAAATTAATTCCAAACTTCTGAAATCAATAATGCATAAAACCCTAGTAAAAGTGCAAATTGGAGGGAGCTGCACTGACTTTGCGACATCTGGATGAAGCAAATTTGCAATAAAATAAAGGGGCACAAATCACGGAGTTGCAGATGTCACGTGCCAGTGCTTAAACAATGAACATTATCAGTTTTCTAACCAGTAGTCAAAGCGCGTTCATATAGCAAGTTTTTGTTTACAACTTAGTGTTAATTATTTTTAATTTTTTCTCATTTTCATAAATTTAATATATGATATATTTATAAAAAAAATGTCTCAAATTAATTGTAAGTGCGCTAACATTATTTATAAAGAGCTTCTATTAAATTTTTAACTAACAAATTAAAATAAAAAAAATACAGACCCGACGAAAGAGATTGTACCAAAAAGACCAGTTTACTAATCGTTTGGTTGGGTGTGTCCTTAATCGCCCCAGAGAAGCCAAAGTAAAAAACAATAAAAAAATATAAAATTTATCTTTAAGAGTACATGAATATAAATTTTTATTTCTTATTCTTGATAAATACTATTTTATTAGTGTAATTATTTAACTAAAAAAGTTATGAATCAAGAATAAATGATAAAAATCCTAACTCATACACTTTTAAAAAGTATTTGTCAAGATTACTCAAAAATAATTATTATCTTTTTGATAATTCAAGTTAAAAGTACTTAAAATGGTTATTACATCAACTTTTTTTAGTTAGAACAAGAATAATATTACATCTGTATTTTGAAAATAAAATCATATTTATAGAACATAAAATCCAATAAAAAACTAATTATAGTAAGGGCATATTAGAGAATAAATATTTCAGTAGTAGTTTTTTTTTAAATATAAAACATATTTAAAAATAAATCAAATAGAAAATTAATTAAAGTGTACATATGAGAAATAGAAAAATGTTTAATTAAGGATATTTTTTTGAGAAAATTTATTTCAATGTAAAATAGAACAATAAAATTAGTCAAACACATCTAATCTAACATATATAGAGAATTATAGTAAAAGTATTTGATTAGGGATATTCTTATAACAAAAAATATTTAAATTGAGAAATTAGAAAAGAAAAAATAATTTAATGAAGTGGAAGAAGCATCAATAAATGACATGAATATAAGACTCCATTCATTTCACCGATTCGAGTTTTACTACAGTAAAATACTCTAAAAAATAATCACATCTAACTTTTTTACTACTAAAAAAACTTTCATATAAAATTACATCTTAACTCGAATTAAAAACTTAAATCAACAAATTAAACGAGCTTAAATGAAAAATAATTAAGGGTCAAAGAATAAAGAAAAGTTCAAAAAAAAAAAAACAAAAAAAGACAATCGATGCATACGTGGCAGAAGGAGCGCGCTTTGAACTTTCACGTTTTTATATACGTCGATACTAGATAAATGTAGATAGATGTAAAATGTCCCAAATTTTTCAGGCGTTCTAAAGTTCTAAACTAAAATTAAAAGATACCTGGCGAAAATAATGCAATACACCAGTTACGCCAACTTTAGAATCGGTATTGTAACACCTTATCAATGCGACAGTGGTATTACAGACTTCAGCGTCAATATAAGCATTTAAGCTATTTCACTCAATTGAAAAAAAGCCAAAATGAGTGAAACATTATTCCTTGCAGGGAACCAATATAAATGTCTGAACTTTATAGTCACTATTGATAAGATTAAGAGGAGAAAAAAGATCATTTGACTGTACAATTGGCATATCAATATGTGAAGAAAACATTAGAAGCCCTCTTCATGTTACCCGTAACCTTCAACTACATTCTCCTATTCAAATTATGCACGGTGTTCACTTGTCACCGATCCAGTCTTGCCCTATTTTATACAGCAGTCTTGAAATGTGTAGTCTGATTGCGCCATGCACTGCTCATTTGCTATTAGTCACCAAGAAACAGAAATGGCACGTTACATATGGGATTCCTGATCGAAAAAAGGCCTCCGAACTCTTCCACCTCCCAATTGCAAATTGACATATGGAAATTATAGGAGAAGAAAAGACTAATAAAACTGAGAATAACTGACAAATTGTTATTTACCCCACAGATTCGTAATGCTGACTTCCGGATCCGATCTAAACCAATAATCATCATTCGCCTGCAAACCGACCTTAGTGAAATTGATTAGCTTTCCGAAGAGAAAAGCACTTGAAGTTAAAGTACTTGCACATAAAGCCCTTAAAAAAAAGGTACTTACATCAACATTTGCCGGAATTATCTTCTGAATTCCTGATGCTTTTGATCCAAGTGAACCGAGGCTAAAAGAGGATACCTTTTGATTACCCTGATGATCAAAAGAGAGTCCTTCACCGTCCCTTACAGATGAACTCTTCTTGCTAGATTGCTTGGTTGTTGCTTCCTCGTGTGCGCCTTGATATTTGCTACAAGCATCAATTATATAGCCATTATAGAAGTACATGCATGTATGAAATAGGAAAAGGGTTAATCTCACAAATGGTTCCTGAGGTTTAGCCTCAATCCCACTTTAGTTCATGACTTTTCAAACGTCGTACAGTTGGTCCCTGAGGTTTTATTCTGTTTCAGTTTTGGTCCTTCTGTTAGTTTGGTGTTAAATATTTGACGGAATCTATAGAAATTATGGACTAAAATTGGAAACATATAAAGTTTAGAGACTAAAACAATACAAAAATCAAAAGTTAATTTCCACAAATATTTTTGGATTCTAATTTACACAGAGTCTATTAAATTTTAACGCCTAGTTGATATAAGGGCCGAAATTGAAACAAAGTAAAACCTCACGAACCATCTGTGCGACACTTGAAAAGTCAGGAATTAAAGTGGGATTAAGTGTCGACCTCAGGGGCCATTTGTGGAATTAACCCCAAAGGAAAAAGGCCCAAGTAGAAGTCTTATAAATCCAAGGACTATCAGAATTTTGAACATATGTATAAATATATTTCACATGCATCACAATGCTAGATCTTCCCCTTGCGTCCATGGAGGGATTGAGGGAATATGTGCATATGAGTTAATGAAAGAAAAGATACCTCAACAAGTACAAATCAATCGGTCCCCTGGAGCTTCTAACAATTAGTTTATATTGCCTTTGGGAAAAACTGATATCCTGATCATTATAAGAATGCAACCAATTAGGAACTAGTACATTACACAAAAATGTAAACACATTTGTCCACGCAACCTACTGCATCGGGATCAGGAACTTCGATATAACTTGCTGTTGGAGCCTTTATCGCAATCAGTGTTTGATTCTGTTTGCAATACCAATGAGTGAGATTAAGTAGATCATTTGATAATCAATACAACAATTATGATAAGCAAAGTTGGATAAAAGAAATTTTCAAGGAAAACTTCCGAGGTTCGGAGGACAATGACCTGAAAGCATGGAAGAGTCAAAATATCGTCCACCGTTAGAAATAGGTACCTAAGTCAAAATAGGCAGTATGAAGAAAACTCTGAAAATGTATCCCAGAAAAAAAGCGGGAAGAGGGGGGAGAGACATAAGGAATTTTGAATGTACTTTTTACAGTTTTCATCTTCCCCCAGGGCCCTTAGACGATCTTGCTTGTCCCTGAAATAGAACATGGACAACAGCTCAAAACACAATGAGAAATAAAATGCGAGAATTATCTCTTGCAAATCCAACTGAACCAACCTTATAGCCTCATCAAGCCTGTATTCTTCCGCATATAAACTTCCAACTTCAGCCTGGAATAAAACTAGACTGTAATTGTATAGACAGAGTTCAAATTACTGCATCATGTTTCTTTCAAAAGCATGGAAGCATAAATTTTATCTATACCACGCATATTATTTAGAAAAAGATACCAGTCCTAACCAATCTCATTAATATAATTCAAAAATCAGGCGGAAAGATGGTGCAACGTTGTGTTATGTACTGCATCAGTGAATGTATATGCATATTTTTTCTACAAACAGCATGCTAACAACACTTCTCTATAATCTTCTTCATATCAGATTTCTTCACTAGCTCCATTGAAAAATATGAATAAAAACACATAATCTGTTATGAATTAGAAAGAAGTCAATTATTTGAGGTGACTCACCACCCACTATATAGTCTATACGACAATGAAAAATAAAAACTTTGGGTCAAAAGTGGTTCACTGAAAGTACCATTTCTAAAATCCAAAAATAAGGAAAGGTTAAGTTAATGATGAGTTACATAGATCAAAATGATTAATATGTTAGATGTACCTTTAACCCAGCAATCTCATCAATCAGTTTACTTGGCCCCAATCCATCGTATCCCCTGTTTGTAAGATTTGATGGTTATATAAAATTTAAAAATTGCAGATAAAGCATGTAGAAAAAATCATCTGAATTACTTCCAGCGAATATGGTTCTTCGAAGTTTTCTCTATCAATCCTACTCCTTCAAGAACATTTGTAATATCATATATTCTTCTCTTTTGAACCTGTGACGACAACAAAACATAGTTTATAAAAACAAGTGAAAATATGAAATGAGCAAGCATCCAACCACTATGGAAAGTAAAGTTTGGACTCTCACATAGGAAATTATAGAAGTATCCTATGTACCTCTAATACTCCTGCAGTGTGGTTCAGGTCAAGAGTTCGATCCTCGGCCTCAAGAATTAATTTGACAAATTTCTTGGTTAACAAGCCTACAAATGACACATTACACCTCTAAATCTTGGTAACAAAATCCACCAAAAGAACAAGTATACAAAAAATTACTTCACTATTAAGATAATTCTGAGATAAAGAAAGACATAAAAGAGGTCAGTTAGAATCAACTAAAACCTTTATAATCTGATCTTACCTAAAGAACTGTCGTAACGGCAATTAATAGACGGGCTCAATCCATTAAGACACTCAACTTTCAATCTTTGAGATCCAATTTTGGTCTGTTTTGGAACTTTTGACTTAATGTTATACGTTCCAAGTCCAGAAGGCTTTCGTTCAGCAGCAGGGTCGTTAACTTTGCTTTGTCCTGCTACAGCTGGGCTCCAGATCTGAGCCTCATACTTTACATTCGATTGCACCAACTACAAAGAAGATCATTCTCTAAAATAATTTTCTCAAATTCTTAAAGTTTGAAATAAATAAATGTGCACGTGTCGGAGCAGTAATTTCAATTTTGAAAAATATAGATTATAGAGTGCCAAACAGCAATAGATGATAGCATCATACTAATATTTGGAAAATAACAGAGTGCAGGACACAAGTTCAACAACTAACCGTATAGTTCTAGAGAGAAAAAATGATTCTAATGCAAACTTATATATCTGCGCATGATAATTTAAGACTTGTACGCATTTGCTTGCGTTAGGATAAAGAAGTAAAAGATACATAAATAAATCCGAAAGATGAAATTATAGATCACTGGTGGTTAATGAATTACTTCTAGATGTTCGATATTCAGCCAAACACAGCCAAATTAGACTACTTAGAATCAGATTCGATTCCTGATTGACGAATTTGAAATTTAATGAAGCCAGAAAACACAAAATATTCTTCGAAAAGGCAAATCAACTCCTTATGCAAAATGAAATTTTCACCGATTGATTTTCAAATAGTATTGAATAGTCAAGTAACAAAGAAATCAAAAATCAATAAGCAAAGAAGCTACTAAATCATTCAACGATTCAAACTAAAGGACTCGCGCGGAAAAATATATCATCTTCATCAAGCAGATTAAGAAACCAAAAGAAAAAGATCGAAAACCTAAAGCAGACGATAATGAGGAAGGGAAAAAAAGACGAAAACGACAAAAAAAAGAAGCAAAATCGATGAACAAGAAGAAGAAATCAGCGATTGACGGAGAGTTGAGTCATCGGAAGCCTAGTAAAGGCGGAAGAAGTGTGTACCTGAGAGTTTTTGGAGAAATCGCAGAGGCGATGATGGCTGTGATTGGAAGGAGGAGCGACAAAGTGAGGTCTGAGAGGAGAAGAGGAAGAAGAAGAAGAAGAAGGAAAGAGGTGGGGATTGGAAGGAGAAGAAGAGGAATGGTGGTGTGAGAGAGGATGAGGATGAGAATGCAGAAGCTGAAATTGGAAGCCATGAGCGGTGCTCGGATCATCCATCATAAGGGCGGAGAGAGAAAGAGAGGTTTTTTTGAGTGTTGGAGGGAAAGGTGCGTTTGCGTGTTTTTGTGTGAGAGAGAGACTGAAGTCTGGTTCGTCTCGCTGATTCGAGTTTAGAATTTGAGTTAAGATATAATTTTATATGAAAATTTTTTATTATAATAAAAAAATTAAATGTGACTATTTATAAAAATTTTTTATTGTAACAAAACTCAAATTAATAAAATAAACGAAACCCGAGCGAAGGGTTTTAGTTTTTCTGGGATTGTATGCGCGAGCGAAGCAGCGAGAGGCCTTAAACGCAAACACATACACATGGATCTTGGAATCACCCACCTTAGATACCGGGTCGGGCCAGTTAGGGGAAAGATAAAAGTGTCCCTTTGAAAATGGGGAAAAATGATAAGAAAAAAAAATTGTAGTATACGTATTTTTCTTGTTCGAGAGAAAATAAAAAATACCACACAAAATAATAATGGGTTGTTTAGTACTTGTTTATATTATGATTCTTTTTTTTACAAATAATTTAAATAAAATAATTATCGTCAATAATTCTTTTAAAAAAATTTAAATCAAAACTCAAATTATAATTTAAATATACTTCTTAAATAGGCCATAATAATTAATATTATCAAGTTAGATCTATTTACATATATTGGAATTTGGATCATTGGATGCAGCCGAGGAGCTACCTTAGGCCCCACGAAAACTGCCCTCTGAACCCAAAGTGCGCTATTATAAAGTTGAAACCAAAGCATTTCGATAAAAATTAATTTTTATCCCATTTATTTTTAATGTTTTGAACCAAAAGTTTAAATCAGAGCATTTCAAACCTATTTACCAAATAAACGAGGCATTTATAAAAATAACTCTTTTAAAAAGTTTTATTAGTAAAATAACTTTTTAAAAATTTTTATTTGCAAAATGATCTCTTTTTACAAAGAATGAGTAAATGTCTTTCTACATAAAAAATAGAAGAAGGTTATTTTGTTAATTTCACTTTGTTGGATAGTCATTCTAGCATATTGCCCCAAATAAACTCTTAAACTTTACTAGTTTTTACCGCAATAATACTATATGATATATAATTTATCTCTAAACTTTTATAATTATAACATTTATATTAAAATCTCTACAAAACTTTCGATTACACTCGAGTCTTCACTTTTAAGTACTTCATATTTCAAACTTAAAATATCAAATAAAACAATAACATTATTACACATGTTCACAAGTTTGTTAGTCTGTAGATGGTAAAAAAAAATATAGTTATTTTATTAATTTGGCCTTTTCTGTGGACCAACAATACTTTTGTGGGAGAGATTTTTTGATCAATAACCGGTTGAAGGACTAACGTAATTCTCTTGTATTGAGTCATAACAGTTACTGTTTTGAAAAACAGAAATCATTTTTAAGTATATAGCAATAAACGACTGTCATGCACATCTATCATGAATAATTATATGAATAGTACTGAAAGAAACATCAATAAACAACAGTCATTTTTAATGACAGATGTAATCTTTCACGACAATATCATTCATGTTTAAAAATGACAATTGGTTACGATGGAACGACTAATATTAACAGCAAAATCTACAGATGTGCATATTATTATTCATATTAAAAACGACAATCGTTTATTGATGTGTCTTTTAATATTATTCATATAATTATTATTAGAATATAAAACTATTGTCGGCCCACCTCTTAATAGTTTAGGCTTTTGAAATTGATTGGTAAGCTAATATAATATTAGAGCGGGAAGTCCTGAGTTTAAATTCATGTAATTGCATTCTTTATCCCCATTTAAATAGTTATCACGTGATGGGCATTTGATTATTTCAGGATTATTATTAAATATCAATGTGTTGGGCTTTCTAATTAATTTATCCACATGATTGCTTATTGTCCAGTCTCGCACGTAAGGTGATTGTTAGAATATAAATTATTGTTGGCTCACCTTCTAATAGCTTAAGTTTTTTGAATGGATTGATAAACTAACAAAGTTAACAAGCGTAAAAATGACTTTTTATCCTCAAAATAGTAACTGTTACGACTCAATACAAAAAAAAATTTATACTAATACTTCAGCCGGTTACGGTGGCACATGAGAAATAGGTCCGGTAATTTACAAAGTAGGTGGCAATAACTAGGTCCCATTAATTTAATTTAAACTTTTGGTTAATTCGCTCATCTGAAAATATTTCGTAGCTCTGCCAGTTTGAATGGTTGCCTAACTTACCATCTCACACGTTGTTTTTTTTTATTAATAATGATGGTAGATTTTTGAATTTCTTTTTTGTTTTTTCTTAGTTTAATTACATGATCTATAAAGTGGTATAAAGATTAAAAAAAAAAATATATATATATATATTCTGGAGGGTTAATTTCAATAATAGAACTCCTGAATAAATTATTATTAATTTTAGCATTATTTTTGTATACTTTCACAATTAGCATCGTTATGTCAGTAAAAGTGAGATTAGGCTGTTTTTACTTGATTTAAAATGATAATTATGCCACATTTCAGTTTTAAAGCCTTGAATATATATTATGAAGCCTTTTATAATTCAAATATTCAAAGTAGAGAGAGGAGGAGGAGGAGAACGAACACAGGTGTGTACAGAGACCAAGAAATCCTAATGACGACCACCGTCTACCACCATCTACCACTGTATACAACCTTAAGCACCGATGAACCCACGACAGCGAAAACCCATGACAGCGAAAACCCACGATAGCGAAAACCCACGACAACGAAAACCCACGCAATCACACGACGAACCTTCGCCAAAGAAATCAACGCCTAAACCTCTTCGTCGGAGAAGAACAAACCGAGGAAACTTTGCCCTCTTCGCCGGAGAAATCAACCACGAAATAGACGAGGTCAATGGCGGATTTCGAGACAATAATGAAAACTTTGTTGGCTTTTCTTGTTTATTTGTTTTTTTTCTTAGGTATTTACTATTTTTTCTCTTTTACCATTTTCTACCATCTTAGAAGAAAAGAAAGGCTTTAGTCGAGGAGATAAAAACAGATAAGGTGAGTTATTTAAAATTTTTGGGGGTCATTGGATTGTCATTGTGCTCCTTATTTGGTCTGTGACTCTACCTGATGGCCAGTCATATCATTATAACCGCTTGGTAATTTTATTATGACCGGTCATAAGACAGACACATCGTGCAGTCATAGTAATATGACTGACGGTCATAATTACTATGACCGCCCATTAGGCAGGCAGTCGCAGAGTGCGACTGCCTGACTGATGAGCCTACGGTCATAGCATTATGACCATCGGTCGTAGTAATGTGACCGCACAATTGTCGGACTCTTAGTGTATCAGTGATTAACACCCAAAAGTGATGTTCATAAGCGGTCGATTGTAGCACAGAAGGGCGGACGTATCCACAGAGAGATAACAAAATAACAAGAATGACTAACAGAATAAGAGCGTTAGAGAAAAGTGAATTAAAGAAAAAGAAGAGTTTTTGGGATTTTTGTTGCAAATAAAATAAAAAGGAGAAAATGTGTATGAAGAAAATTCAGTAGTAAAAACGGTAAGGAGTCGAGAATCCCTAATGTTTCGTTCACCAATTCAAGTTTTGATTCACAAAATAAAGGAATTGAATAAATTAAATCTTTATGTTGACTCTGAAATATTATTATTACAAGTTATCCAAAATGGACAATATATCAATTTGACAATATTGCAGTAAAAGACAATTTTATAAAATAATTTAAATAACAAAACAATGCGTGACATAATTACATAAGAAAAACATGACTGAACTTATATAAAAATTGGCACACAATATTTTGAAAAGTAATAGAAAAATAGATGAGATTTAATTCATTAAGATATCGAACTTTACAGCACAAGGAATCAAAACCTGAATTGGATCACTCAACAAAAGTTCATCTCTAACCTCACCAAGAGAACTCTAGCCTAGCTTGCAAAACATTCTCACAAGTTCTAGAGAGAAAATATGAGAGTGACAGCAAGATGACAGAAAACTGAATATTAAAAACTTACAAAAACCTTAGGCTAACCCCTCTATTTATAGTGTTCAGAGGTTGCCTGTCAAGTAAAGAAACAAACAATAAAAATAGAAAATTACAAAAGAAAGGGAAACAAAATAAAATTACACATAAATTAGGAGAAATCATATATTTGATTTGGGAAAAAAATCTGGCAACTCGCTTTGATTTTTGGGGAAGAAATTCGGATCCAGCACAAGAGGGACACGTGTCGAAGTTCGGTTGGAGGAAAGGAATAAGGCTGCCACGTGTCACGCGCAGAGTGGAGGAAGTGTGTTGGCAGTGGTCAGGCGACGAGAGAAGTTGGCCGACATTAGGGTGTTGGGAATGGTGTCCTAGAAGCATGAGATGTAATAGGATATTTATTATTTATTTAATAAAAGAGTTTATTCATTATTTTTGTGCATATATTTATGAATATTTTATTAATATCAATAAAAATTCCATGACTATTTATGTGACCTTAAACATTGTATATAAGTGTTATATACGAGATGATAATGTTTAAGGATAATAATCAAAAAGTAATGTTCATAAAGAATTTAATTAAAGTTCGGAATCTTTAATTAAAACATTATTAATACATGTCCTTCCCATTTAGAATGGAACGGTATTATCCGCACTGTTAATATAGTGAGATATTGAATGAGTGTATTTCACATAATGAGATTATGTGGAGCAATGACACATACACAATATGAATTTCTAATAATTTCTGTTAAGTATAGAAATTCTAATTGAGTCTACCGATGGTCATATATATAATGATCTTAATCCCGAGTTTTTAACAAACTCCTATTTATGGATTTGTGTCTTTTGATTTACTCGGTACGGATTCTGAGATCCTGAATCCTATTCTTTGTATTTTGGAGACATGATGAAGTAGGTAGCGGGGAATGTTATTATACAAGATGGAATCCATTCCTTCTTGAGAAAGAAGTAGATAAATAATTCTTTTGAGGGTTGATTCGGTACTTGGACCAGTAGGAGCTCCAATTCATGAATGTGTTTTATAAATCACTGTCCATTAGAG